ATGATGAAATAATTTATAATCATATAGTATCTAAAATTTATTTTAATAATATTTTTCTCTTAATTTTCGAATCAATCAAACATTATTACTCTCCCATATGATGTATTTTTACAACCCACAACATCGACAGATCGCTTAGCTCCATTTATCTGTAACATAATAGCGCTCGATCAGTGAGCTATTACGCACTCTTTTCAAGGATAACTACTTCTTGGCAAACCTCCTAACTTTCTCTGCACCTCTACCTTCTTTATCACTAAGCAATCATTTAGGGTCTTAGCCGGTGATGACTTAGGTTATTATTCTTTCGACGGTAAAGTTTATTCCTTCTTGTATCACTAGCCGACCTTAACCCCAATTATTCTGAAGTCATATCTAGTATTTAGGGGTCGCTTCGTCGGAAAGAAGTTATTACCGAATTAATTATCCTGAGATTAGTTATCTCGAGATTAGTTATTCCATCTTTTCATGGGATAAAAAAATACTACAATTTCGGAATAACTAATACCGAAATTAATTATACCGTAGTTTCCTAACAATCAAATATGGGATAAACTCTTCTTTAACTTAGTCCTGAAATTAATTATTCCTTATCTCTAAATATCAAAAGAGCCCTTAGTGGTCGTTTCGTAAGAAGGATCAGGTGGGATAAGAGGTGGGATTAAATCTATACCTTGTTTGGTTGGAGGTATAAATTAATCCCAGAATAAATTTATACCTCAAACCAAACAAGGTATAAATTTAATTCTACCTATTATCCCGTCTATCCCATCTTATGCCATCAAATATAGTATTATTTTATATTATATCTCAAGTGATATAAATTAATACCGGAATTATAATCCCAGAATTATAATTTCAATACTATTTTGTTCGCGTACCAAACGATCCGTTAAAGTTTACCTCGATTTTGAACCGGTCTCGCAACATAAATAGGGACGGGAAGTGAGACAAGTTTCTAGTTGACCTAAGTGAGACAAGTTTCCAATCAAGACAGAACCCTAATAATATAGAGTTCACATCATAATAAATGAACCACTAGTTGTTGAAACTGTTCTGGCAGATATATTTAAAATGGGAAAGTAGGAAAAACAATCAAACATGATCAGTCTTCTCAAATATTTACCCATCATACGCAGGGTTCGAACCCGAGACCTCTGATTAAGGGAAGAACAATCTCATCCGCTGCACCATATCCTTTGTTGGTCCCATTACTGTTGTCACCACACCAAATGGTCCGATGCATAAAGTATTCTATGTTCACTTAAGATTCGGGGAAAGGCACATTCTAAGACATGTGATATAGACAATCTACTCTAATGCAAGAATTAGTGAATATTTTTTACAGTTCAAACCCGTAACCTATAGGTTACACGGAGACATTTTTACCGTTGTTGCATGACCCCCTTCACACCCTACCAAAATGTATTTAATTTTTTTAAACTTATATAGACTGATAGTTACAGAAAAATGTTTATAATTTTAAAGTATTTTAACATGTTGTATCGAGAAACTTATCTTATTATTTCAGGTTATTAATTATTTTATCAACCATTACTTGTAATTAATTTTTTGATGACTCGATATTTGTGAAGGGAGTCTTCAAGCAACAGTTAAGTTGTCTACCTATAATTTATATGTTACGAGTTCGAGTTGTAAAATCAGTCACTAATACTTATATCAGAGTAGACTCGCTTCATCATATATTTTTGGGGTGCGACTCTTATCCGAATTCTTCGTGAAAGTGGAATATATTGTGTATCGGACTGCCATTGATGACATGATAATTGTATCAAAATAGATAAACTAAAAAATTGAAAGTTACTTAGTGGGACCACCAAGTTTGTAAACTTGGGGCCCACAGACACTTATTATATTTGACTAAACGAGTCAACAAAACCAAGTTATTATTGGGAAAAGCAGCTAATTAAAAATCTGTTTAGCTGCTATATATAAACACCTTCCTCTAGAATCCACAAACGAATGTTAGGCCACAAAAACAGTATTCTAGGGTAAAGGTGGGTGTTCGTTTTCTTTGGTGATAGTCTCGAGAAACATAAAGAAATTATATAAAATAAAAAAAACTAAACGATAAAATCTTTTAAAAATCAGAAAAATTGATTTCTTGAAGTTGATGCCCTTTTTAGTCAGTAGAGTCAGGTCTTCTCTCATAAAATACTTGTACTATATATAATACTTACTACATTACTCTGAGCGGTGGTATTGTTGGAATAGCCCTGGTATAAGTTATGTCGGTATAAACTATATTGGAATAAGTTATGTCGGTATAAATTATATTGGAATAAGTTATACTGAAATTGTTATTTATTCACTATTTGGTATGTTGTATTAAGAATGACAATTGTATAATTTCTAAGAAGGTATAAGTTATACTGGTGCTAATTACCCCACCATCTATAAGGTATAAGTTATTCCGGTGTTAATTTTAAAACTTGAATAACTTATACCTGAGTTGCTAACCAAACAGAGTATTAAGGTGATATTAAATTTTTATACCATCCTTATACCTTCTTATACCTCGTACCAAACGACCCCTAAAACTGCAAAAATACAGTTTGAATTAGTGTAATTAAAATATTGTAAAAAGTGTTTTTAAAAACTATAAAAAAAAATTATAAGGGGTCGTTTGGTAGGATATATAAGGGAAAATAATATATATATAATTTTTGGTATTATTAATCCCTTATTTGATACTTTAAATAATATAGGTATAAATTTTGGTATTATTAATCTCTTATTTGATACTTTATCTGTTTCAATTTATGTAGACCTATTTCATTTTTAGTTTGTGTTAAAAAAAATGTCCTTTCTCATATACGTGCCTCATTTTACATTACAAATTCAAAAGTCTTTTTTTTTTAAAATTTTGTGTCCAGTCAAATATGTTCATATACATTAAAATGGACGGAGTAATATTTTTTAATTTATGTATAACTATTCAGTACTCTCTTATATACAACAAATCATGATATTAGCAATACATTTGTTTTTAATACATGAATAAAAACAAAATTGCTCTTTCAAAACCTTTAGTAACACACAAAAATCAAACAGTCGATAAGATATAATTCCAGCGTAATTAATTTTAACATTACTAATATGCTTTATTCAATATTATTCTTATATATACTATACTAAGTATTGGTGATGCTGTTATTTTTCTCTAAGATTTATTGATGGTACTGTTGTTGTTGTATTATATTAAGTATTATATAATACCCTAGCAAATGACCCTCCCCTTCTTGAATCTGCAATCTGCATCAGCATCTATAGAAAGGACAATTTGTAATTAATGAAATGTTAAATAAAGGAAAGAAAATAAGACAGAGATTGCTTGTGCAAATCTAGATATACTGGGAATTGGACTTTTGAGGCAAGTAAGGTATGAAGTGAAAAAGTGGGTTTCCTCTCACTTGCTTTTATTTCTTATTTTGCTTTGGGAAATTGACCCAAGGGTGTTTTCTTGGAGGTGAAAAGTAGAGGTTAAGTGGCAATATTTATAGCCCGTTTGGTCAAGCTGCAAATATCAACTTATTTTGAGAAGTGTTTTTTTTTTTAAATTTAAAAGTATTTTTGGTGAGAAGCAATTTGTGTTTGGTTAATTAGTTTGAAAAATACTTCTGAGCAGCAATTACTGTTTGGCCAAGCTTTAAAAAACTGCTTCTAGGTGTATTTTTCTCAAAAGTGCTTATGAAAAAAGTGCTTTTGGAGAGAAGCTATTTTTTTCTGCTTCTCAAAAGCACTTTTTTTTTCTTCCAAAAGTTTGGCTAAACACCTCAATTTTTAGCCAAAAATGTTTCTTGCAAAAAAAGAAAAAACACTTTTGGGCAAAAATAAGCTTGGCCAACAGGATATTACTCTCTTTGAGAAGGTTTGTGGGTGGGAGGATGTAATAAATAGTGGTAAATTCAGAGATACGAGTTCACGAGAACCCAATAACATTTGTCTAAGTTTTTGTATATGCATCAATAAAATTCACTAAATATTTATTTAGCCGTAAACCTAATTATAGTATATTGACTAATATTATTATAGGAATCCATAAACTTTAAAATCCTGAAGCTGCATTTGACATATATAGATTTAGAGCGAGTTTTGTAGGTTCAAGTGAAGTAATTGTTACTTTCGACGTAAACTCTATATACATATAGATACATACATAAAAGGAAACATTTTTTTATTTGCTTAAAATGATGAGCAAAGCGACTCGATACCCGCCTAAGATCTTTTGTAAGAGATAACATAAACTAAGTGCGCGCAAATTAGCTCGAAGCCTAAAAGTGTTAAATATCCAGCCTTATGTAGCTTAGGAATTCAGGGACGTTTGGTTGGGAAACAAGTTATCCTAGGATTAATTATCTCGGAATTGTTATCCACCCTCCTATAGAAATAAAAATAAAACTACGATCTCGGAATAACTAATTCGAGGATTAGTCATAGCGCAATTTTATCCCAATTAAACATGAGATAAACTCGTCTCAAATTTTCTCCCGAAATTAATTTACCCTTATTCCTCGTACCAAACTAGCCCTCGACATAGGTTTTAGGAGATGGGGTTTTAGTGGCAATCAATGTGAAGCCCATGCCCAAAAAAACCGTACACACAAAAGCAAACACTATTTTTCATGTTTCATTTATTTGGCTTCATTATGTTGTTTAAGGCAAACGTTCATTGTGTTGGAAATAGACATAAACAAACACACAAACACACACAATGCAAAACATTTCTATGTTCTGAGCTGTCTCCTTAATCTTCTTTCTCTTCTTCTTTTGCCCCCTTTTCTTCCTACCCCTAATTCCTTATAGACTTCAGTAGTATATTACAACAACTGAAAGATATTTTTACTTCTGATTTTTAAGGTTAGGACAATATTTCTCATCAAAATTAAGGCCCCCTTTTGAAAAACCATCAAAGGAGAGAAGAAAACAAGGAAAAAAATACTCATGAAAGGATACCGCGGAATGGTAAAGACTTCTTCATCTTTAACAAGACGTCTCGAGTTTAATATTATGAAATAAAGTCCTCTTTGATTGGGAGAGGTTAAACTCTAATAGTGGACCTTTTATGATGCGAATCTGAATTAGTTGAGCCGGTAAGTTTCGAAGACAATATTTATGCTACCATCTCACCGTTTCAATGCCCAAGTTTTTACCTTTCTTGGTTTAACCTTCAACATTATTCATCCTCTCGAGCAGAGGGTCTTTTCGAAAATCAGGGTAGAGGTAAGGTCGGCGTACACACTACCTTTTCCAGGCCTCACTTGTGAGATTTCACCGAGTTTGTCGTTGTCGTTGGTTTAACCTTCAACATTCATTTGAATCAAAATGCACCAAAAAAGACAAAATGAAAGACCCATTTAAGTTTCTTGAAGATGGGGAGCTTCAAAAATCTCATCTTTTTTTCTTGTCCTAATACTATGTAGGACTTTAATCTGCTGCTGGAAGCTGAGGAAAAACGAGTGGGGAAATAAATCAAACACCTTGTGTGCAACAAAGGTTTCAGTGGATTTAGATTTCAAGAAAATGTTCCTACATCAACTGCAAATGCAAATGCAGATAGTTGGTTTTATTTCCAGCTACTTTATGGGTTCAAAATTTCAACTTTTTCTGCTTGAAATGGATTTCTCCAAATGTTGTTCCATTTGTTCTTGATTCACGGCGGTTGACGGCGGCTGACGGTGATGGTTGGCGGCGGAGGGTGGTGGTGATATTGGCGGGGACGGCTCAATCTTTCTCTTAATGGTACCTTTTTGTATATCATTTTGATCTTGATTTTAACTTTAATTTTCTACATTGCCTTTTGGTTTTTATTGTTATTGTAGAAAATTTGGAATTAATTATATTATCTTTTGGCCCATTTTCAAGAAGAAAAAAATTACAATTAAGTTGGATTATGCAGCATTAGCAATATATTCATTTTGTTTGTTTTCTATGCATTAAAAAAGGAATTAAAAACATCAATTTTATGCTAAATAGTTATTGTTTTCCCCTTTCGTTTTTATTTCAATTTTTGTCTTCTTTTTCTTTTTTCGAAATTTGGATCTTGATTGTGGGGTAGTTGAACAGAGAGATGGTGACACAACAAAAGCTAGAAGGTGAAATTACTAGGTTTACACTTGCTAGAATAGGACAACATAGTAGAATTAGCATATGCTATATAATTTTTTTCGTACATGTTATCTTTTTATTCACTAAAGTGTAAAATAATTTTTATTATGTTTAATTACCTAATCTATAAATAGAGGTTACTGTTCATCTGTAATATTAAGTACAACAATCCAGTAAAATCTCAAAAGAGAGGCTATTTTCGAAAAACCCTATGTTGAATAAGACGAAAATTAACAATAGATCAGTGACAATAATGAAGCCAAAAAATAATATCTGTTATGAAACAATAAAAGAAGAAGAAGAGTATTGCAGACAAAAGTAGGGAGTGAGAATTCTTATTGATTTTGGGATGATTTACAATGGAATAGAACCCTCTATTTATAGGGAGATGGTAGCTTAGCCACCAAGTAATAAACTCTAGAATCTCTCTAGAATATAGACATTCACCTTAAATAGAATTCTATTTATAACACTCCCCCTTGAATGTCTATTCAACAGATAATGTGTCTCGTTAAAATCTTAACTAAATAAAACCCAATGGGAAAAAAATTCTAGAGAAGGAAAAAGAGTACACATATCTAACAATACGCCTTTTGGTTGCCTAATTAAAAACCTTATTAGGAAAACTCAGTGGGACAAAATCGTGTAAGGAAAAAAGAGTGCAGCGCGTATTAACTCCCCCTGATGAGAGCATCAATTAACATCATTAAGTCTTTGCATTCCAGTCTTGTGCACTAGCTTCTTGAAGGTTGACATCGGCAGAGTTTTGGTGAATAAATCAGCCATATTAACTCCAATGAATATATTGCACCTTGAAAATCTTCGCTATCACATTATCATGCTTATAGTTATAGCAAGATACAAATGTGCACAAATTGCACTGAGAAAGTGGTACTTAATGATCAAGAATTGTATATGCTTTAAGCAACTTAAGTTCTTCATGGATTGTCATATAAATTAAGTCATATAAGTTAATAGACTTTAGATGCATATCAAGTTTTTTATGTCATGCTAGACATATAAGATATCGGAAACTAATTGCACATACCATTGACTTTATACTTTCAAGTGTTTGAACTGCAGGTCCAAATACTTGTCTTTCATATGAAACCTCTTCTATTTGGCCAATATTTTTGTGTCTATATTTGATAGACTTAAGATCCTCATCTATACTTCGCGCTATGATAGATGTTGTCGACAAACATTTTATATCGGTTCCAATATTTATTCATAAAGACATAACATAGAGATCTCTTCATTTATATATTCAGGTACCTGAATCTCTCATAAGATTTCATAAAGATGATTATTTGTTCATCTTCTTTATCAAAAAGTTCTATTTGAAACCGATTTGTCTATACGCTTTAAGCGTACCACAGATTTTGTCCTTCTAGGACTTAATATGAGCATTTGCAATGAGAATACAATTACTTTCTTTGGGTCAGCAAATGCGTATGGAATGCTTTGCAATATATTGCAAATGAATTATCCTTTTATGAACTTCAGGTTCATATTATCCTATTCGAGGATCTATATGTATAAATAATAATTCACTCCATGTAATTTTTTTCTCAACTGCTGTATCTTGTCTCCCCTCATGTTAGAAAAACTAACTTACTTCCCTCAACTTTGAAAATCCATCTTTGTGCATTATAGTATTAATGAAAATATACACCGCACATCAATAATAATAAGATGAAATTATTTGGTTCCTGACCCTGATCCACTTGTGAGGGGAGAATGCAATATACTTTCGTATATTACACATATCAAATTGATATATATAACTTTGTTCTCATAAAAAATCGTTTAGCTATTAAGTGGAGGCACTCAATAAATTATTTTGCTAAACCAACTGTGATGTAAACCAACTTATCAAGATGAACTTCTTGAATAGAAAATCTAGAAATTATGCTCGAAATTAAATTATTGAGCAAGTTACCTCGCAAGCACCGGTCAGGTTGCGGGTTAATAATAATCGCACATGTAACCATCTCATAGATGCATCTTATGTGGTATACATGATAGGTGAATGGGCCCATATTCACCTTTGATATTTCCAGAATTCATGGGATTCAATCCCAACTTTAGTTGGTCAATTAATTAATGAGAACAAACAATAAAAGAGAATTCGTAAAGAACTTTCTAGTTCTTTAATATTTACTCATGTGAATTCTCTATTATTTTTACACATCATACTTAAATTGATATGGCGAAACTGATTATGCCAACTGTATAAATTATCAATATTGATAAGTTCAGGTTTACACCATGACATGTGCAATTATCAATAAACTCCAAGTTTATTATGATATGGGTTTTTATATCAATAAATATCCATTTTAGTGTGGTGTTCTTTTATTTGTGTAGTACAAACTGGAGAATAAAGCGGGTAGCTTTTCACATATATATTATCCCGCTACAAGTTGTAGTAATAGAAGATATTAAATCTTTCCTTTATTTATAGTCTCAATATAATCAACCGTTTTCGCGTGTACTTTGGAAACTGAATAAGTTTCTTTGAGACTTACTACAACACAATAAATTGACATGATAATCAATTGTATTCCTCCAAAATAGTAATAATTGGCTCTTCCAAAGCTCTCAATTAATTTTGTACTATCACAGATTCATCAACATCCATGTGATGAATATCTCTTTTAAAGAAAAAGTTATACCATTGTGGTCATGGTCAAATTATATGCAAGATCTGTTTCTTGCATTACCATTGTCTTTTAATAATCACATTGTCATAATATTTTGACGTACAATAAATACGTGACCAGTGATCATTCATGCCAGAATAATGACATTGTTTTCTTATTTTATCTCAAACCTCCATCTAGAGGTGAATGTGGTATATTCACTACCACTAGCACGTTCATATTCTTCCAAGAATTAATATGTATTCATAAATTAGATGTTGTCACATTCACATCATGAATGGACCATAATCATCTATATGTGCTTTATAAAATCTCATGTCAAATCGATGACAAATATTACTTTCACAGAACGAAGGATTATTTTGAGAATCCTTATTATTCTCAATATCACAATAATGACGATTATAATTTCGTCTATTATCACGTCCACATCCATTGATACATTCATAGTAGTAATTTTGTCTTCTTTCAGACTTATCACATACTGCTATCACATTCTCTAAAGGGAATGAGAATGGAGCAAATTCAATTGAACGGGTTTTCAATTCTTTGCCCACAATCATACATGAATTTGATCATGACAAGATATAGAAATTTTACCACTTTTGGTGGTTATAATTTCTTTCAAACTTCATTAGAGTTGCAATCAAAATTTATCGTCTTTGCTTGTATTTAAAATCAAATTATAGAATGTCAAGAATTTGAAAGAGAAAAGTAAAATACTTACCTTAAATCCAGAATTTAATCATGAAGGAAGTTCATAGAACAATTGACAATNTTCAGACTTATCACATACTGCTATCACATTCTCTAAAGGGAATGAGAATGGAGCAAATTCAATTGGACGGGTTTTCAATTCTTTGCCCACAATCATACATGAATTTGATCATGACAAGATATAGAAATTTTACCACTTTTGGTGGTTATAATTTCTTTCAAACTTCATTAGAGTTGCAATCAAAATTTATCGTCTTTGCTTGTATTTAAAATCAAATTATAGAATGTCAAGAATTTGAAAGAGAAAAGTAAAATACTTACCTTAAATCTAGAATTTAATCATGAATGAAGTTCATAGAACAATTGACAATCATTATGCTCAATCCCAAAGCTTCTACTCAATTGGTTAGAGTCTCGTGCTGATAACGTGTTATGAAACAATAAAAGAAGAAGAAGAGTATTTCAGAGAAAAGTAGGGAGAGAGAATTCTTATTGATTTTGGGATGATTTACAATGGAATAGAACCCTCTATTTATAGGGAGAGGGTAACTTAGCCACTAAGTAATAAACCCTAAAATCTATCTAGAATATAGACATTCACCTTAAATAGAATTCTATTTATAACAATATCAGCATTGTAAAAGACAAAAAATAGATGAAAAAATAATAACAGTAACTAGTTAACAATGCCATTGAAAAAAAAAAAATGGTAGGTAAACGACATATTGAATTATAGTAACAATAGTGTAAATTAATTGTTTAGTGATTCCATGTGATATTAAGTAAGGTTGAGTGATTTTTTAGCTATAAAAAATTGTTCAGTTACTTTCGTGATACTTTAGCGAAATTGATTAATTTTTCATTACAACAAATAGTTTAGTGACTTTATGTGTTGTCATTGATTTTCTTACATTAGTTATTATAGATTAATAATCCTAAAATCAGAGTCGAAGTCAGAATTTGAAGGTTGATGGTGCATTTTTAGATTCTATCAAAATGTACTTTATATATATGGTGCCACTATTAATATATTTGTATTTTTTTTTAAAAATTTCTATCTTTATAAGATAAGATTAAAGTTTGCGTACATACTACTCTCCCCGGACCCCACTTATGGAATTACCCTGTTGTTGTTATCTTTTAAAAATATATACATATATACATGAAAATTTTGCCTAACTTTCCGGGTGGCGGCGATCCCTTTTTTTACAACATCGGCCCGCCTTTGCCTAAAATCGATAGCAAGTAGATTAAAGAAATTGCGTCTCGTACACTCCCTATTCGTTTCGGCCCCTTTGTATCCAACTACGATCTATTCCCTTAGGCCCAAGGGCTCCTCGGCCAATTATCACTCGCTCGTCCTTAC